TATATTTAGGCTATTTCAATCAAGACATGTTAACAACTAGGCGAGATTCTATGATGCATTCAGTTTTACACCAGCTGTTTAAATCTTATCAAGATGGTCAAAAGGTTAAATTCACACAAACAGCCACGACCCCCCGTGAATGCCTGCTCAGTCCACTTTGAGGTTAGCTGTGTTTTAAATTATACAGAACTACAAGCTAAATTATTTTAATTCAACTTAGTGTATAATGTTTCAATAGAAATATCCTACATAAGAGAATATGCTGATTGAACCCTGGATATAATTTCTTATTTAAAACACTATTAATTTTATCTAATATTGTGCATGTGGTTAAGTTTTAAAACTAGCATATTTAAAATTTATTTTCTTAAGATCTAACATTATCGTCCCCATAAACCTGTTGGGCTCTGCAACATTGTGGACTTTAAGGCCCTCTGACCCCACTTGCACAGAAAACAGACACAAATGTGTACATAGATGCGGGAATGCAGTCTCACACACACTGATGATTAAATCCATTGTGAGTCAGATGAAAATATACACAAACACACCCAAACACACATTTGAATATCTATTGAATCCAATACCAGAAACCAGAGAACCTTATTTCACAGGGGAAGCAAAAATGTATGATTTGATTTAATGATGTCTTTTTAAAATGGCTCACTTTATAGTTCCATAAAAGTGAACAATAAAACTTGTTCCCAAAAAAGTAAAAAATAAAAAAGATATTTTATGAAATGTTAATGAACCAATAAATCATTAGGCAGTACTTTCCAGATGGCAATTAAATTTTTTATTTGAATTCATTTTAAGTACGAAAGAATGAGGCAAAGATAAGATCCATCATTGCTGTCTCATCTCCTTGGGGATAGAAATGACTTATACTAGTTAAAGTTTGTACTTGAGACCCCTACACAGAGTAGATTTTTGTACCTTGGGAAACATTCACAGAGGAGATGTGGAAAACTCTTTCTGTGCTCCTGCAGCAGCAGATGGTGGTGGCATTTGTGGCTTCCCTTTGTGTCTAAATTTTTACGAGGCAATTGAGTTTTTTCTGCTTTCTTTGCCAAGCAATGTGTAGATACATTTTCTAACAACTTTGAAATCCTAGTTAGGCACAGGAATTTACCATCTTCACTGCTTCTGCCCAACAGCCAAGCTGAAGGAAAATCCAAAAGTACTGAAAAAAACTCACTGTGATGTGACATTTTTAGTGAGTGAGAAAGTGAGTGAATTCTAGCTAGCATAATTTTCCCCAGTGTATTATTACTTGTGCCCCCACCAGGCTAAGTATTGCTTATTTATTAATTTTTTTTCTTTAAGTGCTTGCATTTTTTAAGACTTTATATAGTTGGTGTTCAAGATATTAATCTTTCAATCTTTTAATAACGCATAATTACCAAGTGATATTTTCCAATTTCCTGTCAACTGAAAACAAATTTCAACTCAAAAACACAATGGGCCAACCACCGGGCTAAGCAAGTTTTCTGGGGTAAACCTTGAAGCTGGTTTAACTATTTTAATGCAAAGGAAGAAATTAAAGAGTTAACATTTTGAGCATCTTCTGTGTTTTATTAGGACAGTTACATTACTAAAAGAGCAAGCATTTTCTGGAGAATGTAGCTTATTTAACTGAGTTTTTCAAAAGGCTCCTGATATTTCCAAATCAAGCAAGTCCCACAGCAGAATTTTCATGTTTAACAAGGTCATTACAGAGGGAGATTTTCCTCCCCTAAGTTAATGTGACTTCATTGTTTTAATTTTGTGTACTTCTCTTTATACTCCATGTACATGTTGATAACATTTATGGGATTTAAGGGGAGCTACTCAAGATAATAATCCTATCCGCAGTTTCAGTACATGGACACATACACAAGCAGGACACACACATACTATATAGATAAAGTAAGCAGTTCTGATCCATGACAGAAACAAATAGCCTAGTGTGCCCACAACTCCCTGGCCTCTCTTTTAAATGTGTGTGTGTGTGTGTGTGTTTATCACATGTGTCAGGGACAAAGAGAGAGTACAGGCCCTCTGTGCTGCCATGCATCACCCAAACTGACTCATCCCTCCTCACCTGCTGCCATCAACCTCTCTCTCTGTCCATATCGCTCAAGGAGATCACACCCCCACCGAGAAACATCAAGGCCTGTGGTGGGAATGACGAGAGCCGGCTTCACATGACATGAGTTACGAAAGCTTGCAAGCTCTTTTTTCTTTTTTGGACATCAAAAAACTGGAAAGCATGAGAAAGTGTGATGTAAAATGGATTTCTGAGGAGATTGGCAAAGGAGTGTGTTGAAGATAATGAAATGCTGTAAATATCAGAGCTATCCAACTCCTCTGAGCAGCTTATGTAATGGTTCTGTGTTCGACTGCATGTGTGTTCCTGCGTCTCCTCCACACGCGCCTGAATCTATATAGGCTGTAGGTCAGGACTTGGCAGATCAGCCTCCTCAGAAAGGAGAGAGAGAGAGAAAAGAAAGAAAGCAATCGGTAAGAATAATCACACTGCAGTAGGAAATGGATCTGCTGGAGCTGACTGTTGTTGGCTTGCTGTTTTGTGTGTATGTGTGACTCAGCTCCCAGCAGCCACCCATGGTGAGTAGCTTTTCGAATTACTAAGGCCTTCACTGCAGATAATTAGCATTTTCAGTGACGACCACACTGCAGATCTGACTGACAGACTGGGGGGTTTAAATATCCGTCCTGCAGCACTCACCCTGAAAACCACGTTTCATATAACAGAACAGCAGACTTCGCTTCTTAGGACACAGTACCTTGCAGAATAGTTATTTTCTGATGTTGCATCCACAACCTTAAGGGCATTTTATTAGACTTTATGTGATAGACCAGGGGTCTGCAACCTTTACAGTTCTAAGAGCAATATTTGCCTTTAGTCCACCAAAATAAGACTTGTTTAGAGCCAAAGATGTAAAAAAATACAACTTAAAAATTCTGATAAATAGCTACTTCAGGAATTTTTTGTCATTTTTAAAGAACTTAATCATATTTCCGTCTTAAAGTTTTAGAATAAAGAATATCACAGAACATTGCAGAAAAGAAGATTGATAAGTTTCCTGGTGTGAGATGTTTAAATTTGTGGAATTATTGTTGAAATTTCTCTCATAAATAGAGCAAATAAAGCAAATCTGTAATATCTGGTGATTTTATCAGCATTTCTGCAAAACATAAGTATTTAATAGCCACATTTGGGATGTTCTGATGAAATCCTGTCTTTAGATTCAGCAGTTCTTTACTATACAAAGCATCAAAATAAACCCAATCTTCCTTAACTCCACAGAAGCAAATGATTTCACACACTGTCCTCAAAATTTGTTGCGTTTATACAAACCAAGCCCATTTCTATTTCACGGTAGCCGTGTCCAAATGTGTTTCTTCACAGATTTTCTGAGCAATGACTGTGGAGCGCCAGCTACTTTAATTGTGGTTCTGTATTTTTGGCATAAATCCATAATGTGTTGGACCAACAAATCAACTTGATTCCTCTAAAAAATCAGTAGCGTTCGGTCAGAAACTATGGTACAGTTAAAAGGATGAAGCCTGGAACATGAGGAAAATTCACTGCGATGCTGCAGCTGATCCACTGAACAGAAGGACGGAACTGAAAAGACATGATCATTTCAGCCATGACCACTTGCCAACAGGACGTTTCACAGATTTCTCAGCTATCTTCAGTGAAAATAAAGGTGCAAAAAGGAACTGAACAGGTTGTTGATGGTGGTGAGCCTCCAATATGTTACTGTTGATTGTTTTCACAGCACAGATGTGTTGCAAGTTAACAGGCTTGGAGAGAATTGTAGCACTAAAGATGTCTAAACTGCGTTTGGGTTTAGTTGGTTCTTTTTGGATAAAGGAGTTTAGGCTCTGTTGGCTTATGGTTCATGCTTACTATTATGGTGTTAGAAACTGATTCAGTACTAAATACAATTTGGCAAATCACCTGTTCTCTCATTAAACATAGTCCAATTTTTTTCATATTAAGTTGAATTCATAACTCTGTAATTAAAATTTTACCTTAATTATATACATAAAAAATATTTAACTCTTCTTTCTATTTTTTAGAAAATTAGTAGAAATTGAATCATAAACTGGAAATGTGACTTATTTGCTGAAACAGATGTTGATGGTACAGAATTGTATACCTTGTTTAATATATACATTAATATATTGTCTTATGTTTTCAGACCTGTCTTTTTATAACATCGAACTGTTTTTATTCATATATTAACTTTTCTTTCTGATTTGTAAAATTAAATGCAAGAATGAGCAGATTTTGTACAAAACTTTTCTTTTCTCTAAGAAATTCTTTAGTTTTTGAAATTCTGAAAAAATCTATGCTTCCCATCAATACATAAAACTAAATATTCACGTCCCTGTCTGGTTTTTGTACAGTGACCCCAGCTGCTAGCTGCTTCGCCTCTCCTCACTGACCAACACTTCTTCACCCTAGTCCATCGTTGGAAACAGCCGCCACCATGAGCTCCTCTCCGCTGGTTTCTCGAGCTAACGTGGACATCCTGGACGAGCTGCAGCTGATCGCTGCTCAGAACCTGGAGAGGCTGGAGGTTAACAAGTACTATGAGGTGATCAGGGAGCTGGGGAAGGGCACCTACGGCAAGGTGGACCTTGTGATCCACAAGATCAGAGGTGAGGGACCTGGTGTATACACACATTTTATGTCACTTTCTTTGACAAGGAATTCACAATCTTTCTTTTCTCCAAAGGTACAAAAATGGCGCTGAAATTTCTGAAGAAGAAGACGACAAAGCTGAAATCATTCCTTCGGGAGTACAGCATCTCACTATATCTCTCACCCTGCCCCTTCATCATCAACATGTACGGCATTGCCTTTGAGACGGACGAGTACTACGTCTTTGCCCAGGAGTACGCTTTGGCAGGAGACCTCTTCGACATCATTCCCCCACAGGTGCCGATTTATAGCTGCCATTCTGATTGTTTCTTAATTCACGACATTCACCAAAACGATAATTTAACCATGGAAAACCAGTAAAATAGTATAACAGCAAAGCAGTTTCCCTTCAAAAACAATCCAGGTTCAGTCATCCTCAGCTCACACAGTCGAGGATCTTGTGGTGTTATAGTCTTTGTTTCCACATAGACTGCTATCATTTTGACTCATCAAAAAAGACACTACATGACGAATGGACTGACTCAGTACTTTCATATTGCAAGTGGTACCATCAGCATTAGTTTTTTCTTCAACAATGACTATGTCATTCTCCATTATTTGTTGGTTTTGAAGCAATTGTCAGAACCAACTGGATAAAAATGCAAACCTTCACTGCAGTCTGTGCTCTAAATATCTTCCCATGCATAAATAGGAAGATTACCTTGTTTCTAAAAAGCGGTAAAGCCTTACAGGTATTTTGTCAACCCAAGAGCGTTGATGTCTCTACTCTTAATATTTATCTTCCTCATGGCATTGTCTGATGTTACATTTGACTTAGAACTTGAAGGGATCCTAACTCTTTTGTCTGCCCTTCTTAATGGCTGTAAGTTGGAAAGTCCTAACTGTACAGCACATGTTCTTCTTCCATCTGGTCTTTCAGGTTGGTCTACCTGAGTCGGTGGCGAAGCGTTGCGTGCATCAAGTGGCCATCGCTTTGGATTATTTGCATTGTAAGAAGCTCGTCCACAGGGACATCAAGCCTGAAAACATTCTCATTTTCGACAGAGAGTGTCGCAAAGTCAAACTTTCAGACTTTGGCATGACCCGTCGGGCTGGCTCGCCTGTGAAAAGAGTAAGTCACCGTTGAGTTTTCTCAGTTGCTATGGGGTCTTTTCCCTGACATGGTTCTGACCTGTTGGGTTTTCTCCCCAGGTGAGTGGCACCATTCCCTACACAGCCCCAGAGCTTTGCGATGCCTCCCGCCAGGAGGGTTTCTGTGTGGACTACAGCACCGATGTCTGGGCCTTTGGTGTGCTGCTCTTCTGCATGCTGACTGGCAACTTCCCTTGGGAGAAAGCGCTTCCCACCGATACGTTCTATCAAGAGTTCATCCACTGGCAGAGGAGGAGGACGAACACGGTGCCATCGCAGTGGAGGCGTTTCACCGAGCAGGCGCTGCGAATGTTCCGCCGCCTGCTCTCGGTGGAGCAGGACCACCGCTGCTCCGTTAAGGAGGTGTTCGGGTATTTCAGCCACTCCTGGATGCTGGATGCAGAGCATGACAACAACGGCAATGCAGGGGGCAGCGGTAGCGCGGAGATGGTTGGCGGGAGCAACATAGGAGGAGGAGGGAATGTGCGAGGAGATATGGAAGGCACCATCTCTACTTCTTCATCAGGGGAAGAAGATGAGGAGCTCCTGGTGGAGAGGATGAAGCAGCAGACTTTGTCGCCTCGTTCACCGCTCTCGCCCCTCTCTCCAATGTCTCCCATGGTGGTGGAAAGGGGCAGCGGTGGTGGCGGAGCCAAGGGAGCAATGATGGACCCGGGTGGAGGACATCATTTCGTGTCTGTCTCCACTAACAGCTCGGTGTCGTCCACCAACAGCTACGACCGAATGCCACGGGAAAACAGTTCCCCTGGCGGCCGCTTGCTAGTGGCTACACCCATTGAGATCTGCGTGTGAGCATGGCAAACTCTGCGACTGACTCAACCCACACTTCCATACCTCTTGAACTGCAATAGTTGTGCATGCATTGAAACAAGACCAGACTAAAAGTACTAACGTGTATCCTGTTTTCTACATCTTGGGAAGAAAGTCGACACGTTGAAGACTTAGGAGATCTTGATTGAAGGCACATAATGAAAGATCTTTGATTGGATGTCATCAAGAGAGGCTTTGTTTACAATCCAGGGACATTTTGAGATGCATTTCATGAGAATATAAAGAAAAAGTGAGAAGCTCTGTGACTAAAACCATCAGAAAAGAAAACCAAAATGTATTTTATAGAGCAATACTTGCAGCAAAAATAATTCAAGGGAAGACTTCACAAGCTGTGATGAAACGATGAAGGACTTGTTTCTATGATGAGGACTAAAACAGAACTTGAAGAAACACCCTGGTTGACGGAGTGAGACGATGTGTAACAAAAATGTGAAAGTGTGTTTGTGGTTTGTGTGTATGAATCTTAAAAAAGTGTATTTTGCTTTGAGATACAATTTATTTATCTAATCGTACAAGACTAAAATTGTTTTTTTCTATTTTATTTCTTTTTGTTGTTTTTTTTATAATGTAGCTTTCCTTTTTTTCCACTTTAGTGAATACTGTTAAGTGACTTCCGACTCTTCTTCCCTGTGCAACACTTGCATTTGGCTAATAAGTCGGGGTGTAACGATTTGTTCAGCTCATGAGACACCGTGATACGTGACACTGAGTTCACCACAGCGATTTGATTCACAAATAGTGCGAAGGGTTCAAATCAAAAATCACAAACTACAAACTGTGTTTTTGAAAAATGTACATTTAAGGTGAGAGTTATTAATTTCGGATTTGTTAGGGTTTATGCTTCCCTTAATTCACAGTAGCCAAATTTCACAAGTTAAATCTAAACTAACATTTTAGATTTCGTCCAGTCTTTTTCAATTTATAGCTAGAAATGATCAAATGTGCTTCCTTAAAATAATACTAAAAACATATTTAGTTTGATGCCTATAGGAAGTTTTCAGTCAGATGCTAGCTTCAGCATTGTTAGCTTCTGTTGGTTTAAAGTATAAATTTGTCTTGTTTTCCCCTCATATGCGGTTTATTTCCCTATAGCTTATCAAAATAACAGACCAACAAATGATTTAAGTCATGGTGTCAACTTCCAAATGCTAATTTATCAGACTGTTATCATCCAGCCCAATTTGCAATCCTTGTGGTCGACTCAGTTAACGGAACACTATTTTCTGTCTTACTTTGGATAAAAACCTAGCAAAAAATTTCCAGATGTAGCTTGAAGCACTTATTTTCATATCAGGGACTCAACTCTGTTTCACCAGGCGATCCTGCCCCACATATTAGCTAGACAGGAAAGTGTGTGTATGACAGAAATGTCAACACATTTCAGTATCATGAGATTTCGTACCACAAAATGCTGTTACACCCCAACTGATGAGGATATCGGTGTTAATGCTTGTACCAGAAAAATTTAACATTATTCACCTAACTTTAGGTGAGAGAAAATGACTATGATGTCTCTGTCTATTTTTATATTTACTCCTGAAGTTCTTTTATCTTTGAAGCTTCACAGGAAAATCTGTCAGCGATGCTTTTTGTTTTCATTGTGTTTTATTTTTTTACCGAACATGTTTCCTCTGACACTGCTATCTAAATACTGTCTGTAGATTAAAAAGAAACAACCTTAGCTCAATTTGGAAGAAAAAAAAACAGAAAAGAAAATAACACCAACTTTATAACTGCATGATTAGCTCACACTTACAGTAAAAAAAAAATACACTTGTTAAAGAAAAAGGTTTTGAAGAAATATGTGATTATTTTTGCAGTAGCACATCTTCTTGCATTGTATTCAAGACTGAATACCAGTGTTATGATCTCTTGAGAAATTCTGGTACTAAAAAAAAAAAAAAAAGAAACCAGTAATTAGTTTTTACTCTGTGTGAAATATTTGTGTTATTGTGAGATCATTTCACCTCTTTAAAGAACAGCTAAAAAAAAAAAAATAAGCATGAGGGCACTGGAGCGAGAGGCTGTAATTAGAAACTACTGTTTTATCTGAAGAGCTTTCTTCTAAATGGCCTTTGATGAGGTAGTGAAGCTTTTCACTTTTTGTATTTTTTATCCGATTTAGAATGATGGCAAAAAAAAAACAGAAAAGAAAAAGCAAACCATTCCTTTTTTTGACTATGAAAAAATAATTCAAGAAAAATTCTATTTTCCAAGGCTTAAAATCATGTGTAGGAATGGCTATCGCTTTCCACACATTAACCTGCATGAACATGTATGTGCTACAAAAGCTCTCTTGTGAAAACCTGCTCAGTGTTTCTCGAACCCCAAACTGTAGTAACCCGTAGATGTAGTGTAGCCGCTGCCGACGATATGTTTCTTTATCTTGTGAGTGTCAGTAGCTTCAGCATGGATACTCCCCCGACTGAGGAACAACTAGACCCAGCTAAAGCCAGTACATTGTGCATTTTCATCATCAGTGGGTATGTATGCTAAGTACAACATCTTGTGACATCTCTGACCTCATCAGCAGCCTTCTGATTCAGAACAAAGGACCGTCCTGATGCAGACACTGTAGCCCCGCTGTTTTCTCCAGCTGGCAGTGAGCTACACACTAAATTCACATGACCGCGTAAAACCTGTACATGAGCTCATCGAGCAATTAAAGCACCCGGTAGATACTGTTAATGGTGTCTTTGAGTTGTTGAGGTTTATTTTGCAAAGTTTGAAAAGTCAGGGAAGTAACTCAAAATGGCTATTCCTATTCAGATACATGGGTGTTGTAATTATTGTATCTGTGTCTCATGGTAGGTTTTTCAATAAGAGGCATTTGAAACTTTTGTTTAACGTAGGCATGGGTCCATGACAAGTAACTAGATAAAGCGGCTGCTCAAGTAAAACGCAGGAGGTCATGGTGTGGAAAAGGAAGGCGCGCCACCTATCGCTTGCTTTAAGGTAATGCAGTTTTAAAACAACCGTTAGAAAGCGACGAGCTGTACGCTAACACTGGCTCATACCCTGAGCTAACAGGAGTATTGGTATTTAGAGTCGAATGACAAAAAACGTCGGCTGTTCCGTTCAATAAGCACTTAATAGCTTTAGCTATGCTAGATTTTTTTTTTTTAACTTAAATTTCGACTCCAAGTTGTTCCAATAGTAAATTGTGAAGTTGTTTTGGCAGCAGCAGATATTTCTGTACCCCGTGAGAATATTCCAGAAATTCTGACCTGGAGGTTATTGCGAAGTTTGAAATGTCCTAGCAAGGATAAATTTCGTGCCTGCATTTGGACCACGAGAGAAAGAATCAAAATTATAGACCTTATAGACCTTAAGGTCTATAATATTTAACATGTTAATGTTAACATGTTAAATATCAATATATTTAACATGTTGATATCATGTTAAATATGATATTAACGTGACAACCTCATAGTTTAGAATGGGCGTCTCCCTTTCTTCCGATGTTGGGTTCTGCTGAGATGTTAGCTTTGTGGCTGTCATGATTTTCCGTTTGTGTCAGCACAGTTTACAAAAATGTTAAGTACAGATAACTGTAGTGGTTCAGTGTTAAGTTAAAGAATGCAACAATAAACAGAGGGAAACAGGAAGTTATTTCAAAAGTTCTGCTAGAAAATAGTTGCTAGTATTTTACTTATTTTTAAAATTATTAAAGCAACTTCATGGAAGTTTACCCCCTTTATAAAGTTGATTCTAAAATTTAAAATTCTAAATTTGGATTCTAAATTAAGGCTTTGCCCATTAACTAATGTGGCAATTGAGTATTCTCAATTATTATTTAGTTTGTATATTCATGAACGTGTTAAACTGAAGAAGACATTAGTAGTAATTATTCTGTTTTAGTATCCATTAATCATCCAAGTCCAACCAGCAATACTCTGTATGTTAAATGTAGCAGGAAGTTTTACTCCGTATGTTTTTGTTAACTGGATGCGCAAACTGGATATTGTTTTCGTTCAAATGTTCAAATGAATCACTGATCTCAAACTTTTCTGTTTGTTGATGTTTCATTTGCGAATGAACAGCTCTGTAATCTTGTTGGTTTGATAAGAAATGTAGGGAATTACAGGCATCACCTGCCAATATATGAGCAGAACCAGACTAAGTAATTGGGTACTTATTTACTTTAACCCTCACTCGTTTTTCTTTGCTTCAAAAAAACTTTTGTGTTTGAGGTGAAAATGGCAATATATATTTTTATTAACTTATTGCGGTGAGCAAAAGTAGATTTCCAAGTTCGTGGAAGCCACTTGGCCCTTTTTGTTTCCTAGTGTCTGAGTCAGTGATTGCTGCTTCGTCCTTTCATCCATAATGTGATATATGTGTGTAATGAAATCCCATTGTCTGTTTGGTGACATTTCTCATCATCATTATTTTAGCAGAGTTTTAATGAGTAGATAATCACAACACTAGAACTCCTATCCACTTTTGTCTTTGCAAACAATTGTCTTCCTGTAAGCTGAGATTTAGTCAATAAAATGAGAATATGTGTTGGAGTGAAATTGGTCTTTTCTCTTTTTTCATTCCATGACATTTGGTGCTGAATTTTAAGGGGTTTGCTTTAGGAGTAGACTGGATTTCAACACTGCTCTCTCAATTTTATATTTTTAACCAAATGACTTATTTTAGATACAAGTTCACAACTGAAATCTGTGAAATCCCAGAGTACTAAATGGTTGAAACGTCTATCAGCATGTCAAACAATTACACTTCAGATTACCTAACAAAATTAACCTGAGTAAACAAAAAAGAGGTTTTAAAATGAGAATTTTATTCATTAAGGAGAAAAATAAAACGTCATCCGAACCAATCTGGATTAATGTGAATGAAGTAAACCTCTTGATTCCCTAAATTAGAACGACTTGTCCTGAAGCAGCAAAGTAGTGCAGGAAAAACAAAATTGGAAATCACCCAGAAGAGTAAAACATGGTGGTGGCAGCAGCATCAGGAGTGCCATTTTCAGATATTGTTTTTTTTTATGATATTACTACACATCACACAGAAAATCCAGAAGATTGAACAAAATATTTATTCTGACAATTACGAGACCTCTGATACTCCCGAGAGGTGAACGAGATGGTACAAAAAAAATAAAATCAGATCATGGCAACATTAAAACAACAAGTTGGCAGTCTTCTTTTGATGTTAAACTCAAAATCACCACAGCATTGAGGCAGACGGAGGAAAAGAAAAGGAAGTGGAATGTAACGTTTAGTGTGTACCGGGACAGGAAAGGCAGAAAACCTCCTCCTGCTCCATGTGTTACTGCGGTAACAGCATTAGAAAAAATAAAATAAAAATAGGTAGAAAAAAAACACACAAAAACTTTACAATATCTGAGATTCAGCCCTGAGAGCAACATATATATATATATTTATTTATTTTTTTTAAAAATGCAAACGTTTTGTTTTTTAAACAACATATTCAGAAATGTATATTTGGTACAAATCACCGAAGCTTCCAGACAAACCTGCGGGAAGCTCACTGCTTTACTGCAATAAAAACACAAACTGGGAAAAATACTAAAAAGACAGAGATGGCACAAAAGGATCAGGCAGGAAGTTTTTCTTTTTTTTTTAAAGGTGAGACTTTGATTCCTCTGAGATGCTTCATGCTGCTGGTGACCGAAAGCCGAAAGGAGAATCTGACAGTTACAATCAGGTGACTCCATGCTGCCCCCGGTGGTGCCAGCACTGATCACACAGACTTCCTAAAAATAAAGTCATCAGAAAAAACAAACGGAAAAAGTGCAAGCCAGGTGCCTTTACTCGGGAACTAATTTGTCACTGCACCCCAGATAAACTTTTGACCCTCTCCGTAGAACAGATAAGGCTTTTTTAAGAAGGGTTCAGGTGCAGATACTGTGTTTTAGGACACATTTTAGTGACGGCCTTTTATGAGAAACCTTTCGTAAAAGACCGTCAGTGACTGACTGTGGAGTTGGAGTGAAGCTGAAACAAAAAGGACGACACACACTGGATTCTCACTCCACTATTATGAGACTCGCAGGAAGTCTGACTAATTTAAAAGGCAGCGCCGGCGAAATCCACATGGGCACGTTCTTTTTTTTTTTTCCCCCTAACGATCCCAACTTAACGTGAGGGAGGCCAAAGTGCTTTGGAGTTGCACAAAAAAAATAAAAACGAACAAACTAAATCATCAGCAGCAGTTTGATGATGAGAAAAGAGCAATCAAAGAGCCACGAGAAAAGAGCTGAACAGTGCTGCGGGGCCCGAACTGGAGTGCTTCCTGTTAGCATACATTCAAACACACACACATACACACACATAATGATGGACTGTGTTAATAAAATCATCTGAAGTTACAACCGGTGCTGCATCATTTAAAGCAAAGCCCGTAATACTATTACTGATGGTCCAATGTCTTGCTGTAGGCATGGGCAGACGCTTATCTACCATCAAAAGCCCCTGCCCCTCCCCCATCTGTTGCTACAAGAGCACTTGTAGCAAACAGAGATTTTGTCAGAATATTAGCAATAATGATTGAATATACACAGCAGATGTCATAATGCTACAAGTTTCTAGAAAGTTTGAGAAATCCTCAAAGCAGTGGAAGCTTAACAAACTAGTGTTAGCAGTTTGAGAATTGGACACTTTATCATACTAGTTGATATTTTAAAACCTACAACCTCACAGGAGTCACCATTAACTTTATCACCATTTTCCCAACTGTTTCTAACACACAGCTACGCTCAAACTGCATTAGCAGAGCTCTGCAGGCGTTTAGCGCCCGCTAACGTAGCGTCATACAACATGGAGTCGTCTTATTAGCTGTTAGCCTTCCATTGCTCTGAGGATTTCTTTATGTAAACATACTGTAATGCAAGAAAGGAAATTGTTACAGCAAATATGAAGTGTCCCTTTAAAAGCAGCATGTTAGCTTAAAGCATAAGAAGCTAGCAAACATGTAAGTGGCTATTTTTTAAGTTTGCTCAATTTTATGCATTTAAATTAAGATACTAATCAATATGTGATATTTTGCAACCAGCGGGAACAATTGTTGCTTTTCTGCATTACATTAGACCATTGTATTCTATTTGTATTTAGTGTAAGTACCAGGAAACGGTGATATTGTGGTTGTAATGCCCATGCCTACTCAGATAGTTTGTTGCGTGAGTGCAGCAGCTTAACTCAGTCGCATTTATTTATGTCCCATATTGGAATAAAACTCATCAGAATCTCCTTGACTTGTTGAAGAATATTAAAAATGCTAAACTGATACTTTCCAAATGGAAAGTAAAATAAAAGCACACACACATACACACACTCTCACCGCCACACACACATATTACAATTAAGCCTCTTTGACAAACAGCTGAAGAAGCCCGTAAGAGTTCAGGAATAAATAAACCAAATATAATCAAATACTTAGAAAATCTTTTTAAAAAAATTAAATATCTTTGATTATTATTCATATCAATCTGAGCAACAAAAAAGCAAAAAAAAAAAAAAAGAAACAGAACAATCCCATATAAATAACCAGACAAAACAACAAACTCAGCATGTTACTCTGTAATTTCCTGCAGTCCACAGGTTGTTTCAGGGGTATAACAGTCACTCTGAAGAGCAGAGGGAGTCAGTAAGGTTTGTGGGTGCTAGCTGTCAGTCGATGAGGGGTGGGGGTGGGTGACCCTGGTCCGCTGTTGTCATGGTTACTGGCGGATTCCTGCAAGATTCTGTAAAAATAAAGGAGTGATGGTGAAGATGCCTTTCTGCATTTTTTTTTAAAACTGAGCCTCCGAGGGGCCGACTGGTGGGGAGAACAGTGTTACTGCTGCTATCAGCCAAACACATACACACACACAGACAGTGGTGATAAGCAGCCAACTAATGTGGGGTGGATTACTTTAGAAAACACATTTTTTAAAAGACTAAAAATGTCTTTGCATCGGGCTCTGCAAGAAAACTTGCTCAGCCCGGTGGTTGGGTTTTAGGGCAATCATTCATCCAGCAGCCGTCGTGTTTTTAAGTTCAAAAATGTTTAAAGTTGACAGGAACTGTGAAAATATCTCTTGATGATCATGTGTTATTAAAAGACTGGAAGATGAATACCTGAACACCAACTAGAAAGTCTTAAAAAAATGCAAACATTTTAAAGAGACTTAAAAAAAATAAGCAATGCTAAACCTGGTGGGGGCACAAGTAAAGCCTGGTGGCCCGCCAGGCTTATAATACACTGTAGGAAACCCTGAAAGACTATCTTTAACAGTGAATGGCTTAAAAAACACTTTTGACATATTTGACCTTTTACCTAGATTTGGTCACAAATTAAACTGTATGCGATTGGGACTTTTATGCCATAGACCAACAAAAACAAGTGCATAATTGTAAATTTGAAGAAAAAACATGCATGGCTTTAATTTATTTTATTATTACCATTTCTTACCAATGTGTGAATGTGGTTTGATCGGAATTGTGTTCCTTGTATTTCACCTCTATTTGCCACAAACAGATGGAAGTTTTTGTAAATCATGGCAGCTGATGCAGATACTTCTGAAACATCAGATCTCAACACCGTCTACCTTAGAGCTGCTCCCTTTTAGTTTCATTAATAAAGTATGCAAATAGTTTGAGGTGCATGTGGGTTCATAAAGCAACTGGCTATCTACAAATATGATCTATTTTATTTTAGTGTCGAAGGTAGGAATCTTCTTACAAAAAACCCTGAAAAAAATGGCAAAACAAAACCACAAGGAGGCAGTATTTGCAGCAGGTTTTCTGCCAAACACCAAACTTTTGTAGAAAGAAAAAATCCAAGTGAAAAGACCTCAAAATAACAAATTAATCATATTAGTTAGTCACTTTCAGTCAATGAGGGGAGTGTTGAGGTTAGGGTGGACATGCAGGAACAAATGTGTGTAGAATATGAATCAAAACATGGAAAATGTGTTCATACTAAAACAGATCAAATCAGTTTTATGATGATGCGTCCAGAAAAGGAGCTCTCCCTAAACTCTGCTGTAACCGTACTGGGCTCGGTGTCTGCTGCTGTTGTGGAAAAATAACGCAAAGGGGGAAAAAATGAAGCATGCGGATAAAACTGAGGCGGTCAGCTAGAGGTGAGATCATTTCCTAAAATGTTCATCCTACTTAGCAGAAACAAACCAAGAAGTTTCCAAATAAAAATACTCTTTCAAGACCCTTAAAATGTCCCTTTTGTGTTCATGTAGGCAATCCCAATTTGGAGATCACACCTTGTTTTATTCGGCCAACAAAACCTTTCATCCGCAATTTTTTTCATTTTTAATCTTTTTTTGAAGACATACGTCCTCTTCTTAAGACATTCTTGCATGTTTGATTATCAGTGGATGCCTTGTGACATTATATCCGACTATATAATTTGCTTTGGTTTTGGGAAATAACGATGATGTTTCAGGCTACAACTCTCACCTACCTCATGAGGTTCCATGTAATCTGTCACCTGTCGTCCCATCGGCTCCCCGGAGGTGCTTTCAACGTTTTGTTCTGGTGAAAAAAACGTCAACGTTATACGTTGAGCTTCACTTCTTGTTTTATTTTAGTTTTTTTTCCCATCATGCTTGTTACTTGCGGTTTCTTGGATGCTCACCTTGTGCTTCTTACACTTCATGGAGAAATTGTCTTCGACGAGCACACAGTCTGCGGGAACAAGAGGAGAAGGTTTTTATAGAGACGTCCTGCTGATTCATCTGAACGGTTCAACCACCCACACGTGCCACTTCGGGCTTCGGCGGAAGTTATTGCAGCCAACAGCTCCTCACAAAGCTGCTACTTCCACACACACTGCTTCACGCTCTCAGCTACAGTTTCTGGTACATGTGTGTCCATATCCAACTGGGTAGCAACTCGGAAAGCGAAACACACACAGTACTTTGCAAAATGGATTAGTAGTAACTAAGTCTGTTGCAATAAGCAATTAGTAGCATGATAAATTAAAATGAACTCAATTTCCAATTTGTATTCATGGTTTCAGTTGTGTGTATTTGTTTCCTTTTTATCTACTGCTTTTGGTTGTTGTGTTTTATTTTGGATATTTAAAATGTCTTCCACTAACTCCAGTGTTAAGTGTTCTGTACAAAATTAAACTTTAGTAGTCTTTAAGAGGGCAAACTTGCATGTTATGCTATTATAATTATTATATTAGTTGAAAATGGTCTCAAAATGACAATTTTATAATTTATCGCAATAATTTCTGGGACAATTTATTGTCCAGCAAAATGTTATCATAACAGGCCTTATGTTATCTGATGTTACGACGACAAACCTCAATGTATTTCACTGCACGCATGTATTTTCTGTGATAGACCAACACAAAATAACTGAAATTAAAGGAATATGATGCAGGGTTAAATATAGAAATAGGAAAAGAACGAAAATCTGAAAAGCTTTACATGAGGCTGTAAATGCTGAAACATTTTGACTCAAAATTTGTAAAAAAAAAAAAGAAAAAAAAAGAAAACTTAATTTCCTCTTCTGCTGTGTGAGCACTGTTTTGTGCAAGTCTATCATACAAGATGCGAGTGAGGTTTGTGGTTTTCATGCAAGTAAAGGTGAGAATATTTTCGGTAGGCAGTAGGCAGTATATCTGCAACGAAAAATGCAAACGACGAGCCCTCACCTGACTCCAGAGCACACCTGTAGTGGTATTTGTTAGGACAGCCTTTGAAGAAACAACCCAGAGTTGCTCCTGGATTGTGGCATGCCGAACACATCTGGAAAGACACAGGTCCAAAGACGAGCAGGTGAGTTAGATAGGCTGGAGGTCGAGAAAGTAGGGCAAAACCTTTCTCGTTCTGATTTCTAAAGCCTCTGATTCGTCACTTTCATGAGGTTTACGACGCCCTGACACTACAAATCTGACTAAATCTACTATAGACTCACCAGCATCATGACTTTGATGATTACTCTTGCAGAAAGTTCATCATGTATTTAGTGATAAAAGCCAACAAGCTGCGCAAAACTAAAAACATTACGCTACGTTCACACAGCAGGCAAATGCGACCAATATCTGACTTTTTTTTCTCACAGCGAAAACCGTTCACAAAGATGCCGGGTTTAAAAATCTGGTTTCAGTAAAAAAAAAAAAAAAAATCTGGATTAAGCATCAAGATCTGCTGTGTGAGCGCAGCCTAAGTGATGACAACCTCAAAGCATCTGGAAATACTTCTTAGAGGTTTGGTTGCTTTGTTGGGGCAACAAAAGAAAAAAAAGAAACTGCAGATATATGAAATATAATAGTTGAACATTCTAAAATAAAGAGATTAGTGTTACTAGTGGTAATTGTTTTCATATCCAGTAGAAGAAATAAAACTAAATCACTCATAGTGGAGGAAGAACCCTGCATTAGGAAAAAAAGAGTGTGGCGATCATAATGAGGTTGGCTAACAAACAACCTCATTATTAACCAATGAGGTTAGCTTCTTGAAATAGGCTCTGAAAACTATTTCAAGAAGTCAAATCAAAAAAGAGTTCGGTTGTTCCCAGATAGCTGGGTCTGAAACACAGAGCAAAATGTCCTGGTTGTAACAGAGAAACCTCCAGGTGGACATGAGGGAAGGCATGAATGAATCAGGACAGAAAACAAAGTAACCTTGGCTTGAAAACATGAAGTGAACAAACAAAAACAACGGAGGAGAAAACAGGCAGAAACAGGAGTAAAAGTTTGTGTGCAAACTGAAAGAGATCAGCTGAAAAGAGTGGGAATAACATCAAGAGAGCCAAACTAGAACAGCAGGAAAACAATGTTCCAGTCGGCCAAAGAAAGCATTCACAGACTGAAGGGAGGAGGGATTGCTGGTGATGAAGCCATTTCTTAGGACCATAATTCATCGCTTTGAACATCAAAGTTTTCTTCAGGAAGCTGGTCGATGAAAAAATTAGAATCTGGCTGAACTGTTTTTTTACATCAGTGAAGAGCTGAAGCAAACTTTGATGCGTTTCAACTCATTAATCCCTAATTTCTCCTCTACTAGCCTATTGTCTATACCGTGTACAGGTCAAACTCAAAGGAGCCCTGTTTCCAACCCTCAGCAAGCCTAAAAAAACTTCCCATTGATTTAAGTGTTGCAAAGACAAGCAGTGACAACTGAATTGATGTTTTTTGTTAGCACCAATGTTTCTCCAGTGGGCTTTTTAAACTCGAAAGACCTGAATTTATTCATGTTTCCTGTGGCTTACAACACATCTTAGGTATCAACCACAACTATGCCTACTGTATTGCCATTCCATTAAAAAGAGCAGCTTTACCGTCTCCTGGGCCACCTTGACGGCCTCCTCCAGCCCGTAAACTTTGCCCCTGACAAGGAACACACCCGCAGACCAGATGCCACAGTCCTCATGGAGCCAATATTCGCATGGCTCCACAGGGAGAACAGGCGGGCTGTACCAGTCCTCCGCATCCGCAAGACCACCGTCCGATCTTGCCCGCTTGGCTGCGGGGCTGCTGATCCTACCACTGGACCACTTGCGGCTCCCCAGAAGGCCCTTCTGCTTTAGCGGAGCTGCCCAGCGTCTGGCTCTCGTAGTACTAGAGGAAGAGTCGGAGTAGCTGGAGTCCTCCTCATCATCTTTAAGACCCGACACGTTGGCCGGTGCTTTGGTGTTCGGCCGGTACCCTTCGGGGTAATAGGGTCCGTGGAGATCCCCCAAGTCGATGGAGTTGGCCGAGCGGCCGCACAAGCAGCAGACGAGAGCGCGCTGGTGTTGGCCGTGCGTGGACAGTCGTCCCAGGTACAGACAGGAAGTGGTGGGTACAACGGCTGAGACAAAGCGGCTGGAGTGAGCTTGCTGTTGATGCTTGGGTTCCGTCTTCACATCCTCGGGGTAGTTCACTATTGTGCAGAGAGGAGGGGATGACTGCTGTCGCTTGACACGAACAAATGGAGAGAAACTGTCCAACCTGACATCCTTCTTTTCTTCCTTGTAGGTGATGTACTTGAGCTTGATCTCAGGCTCTTTTGGGGAGAACATGGAGGAAGGTTGGCTGCACCTGGGTTTCTTTCGCCTCCGTTTCGGGGGTGTCTTTGTCTTCTTGGTGGGAGATGATGTTTTGCTTTTAGGGTCAACCTGGCTGTTCTTTGGGGATTTTGGTGGTGGATGAATGGACACTACCTTTGATGCAGTAACTTCCACTGAGGGTTCGGGGACAGTGACCAACTCTGGCTTCTCTTTCAAGTTCTTATGTGTGGGGAACTGGGCACTTGACTGAGAAGGGGGTTTCGTCTTGGACTTCACAGGCCTACTCCGAGATGGCCGTGCTGGTTTTCTGCTTGGTCTCACAAATCGAGATCTTTTAGCAGGTGTGCCTGACGTTTCAGTCTTGTTGAGAGATTCAGAAACAGAGGTAGAGTCATTGTAACTTTGAGCGTCGACACTACTGGGTTTATTTTTTTTCAAGTTCACAGCTTTTCTTTTGACGGTTCTCAGCGAGAATGCAGTCTTTGCCTTGCCTTTCACTTTCCTCTTGGATCTGGGCAAGGCAGAAGTGTGTGTTACTGGCTGAGAGGCACTGGGTTTCTTATTGGCGAGTATGCTGCTGGACACTTTATAGCGACATGAATTTATATTCATGACTATTGCTTCCAGTCGAGTCCCTCTACCAGAACGCATGGGCAGTTTCCTTTCTTTTATCGTCCTCTCCAGTACATTTGCACTCCCATTAATGTGACGAATGGCACAACTGGCTTTGTTCTCCGGATTCAGACAGGAATCATCAGTCAAGTCAATCAAAGGCTCCAAAACACCCTTCCGTCTATGGGACTTACTCTCATCACGTGACTCTAACCTCGGGCCATCGTTGACTGCAGAGCTTGCCCGAGTGGTTCTGTCTGAACACCCAGCATCGTCGGCAGCCTCTAAATAAAAGTCATCTGCGCTGGGTGAGCTGGAGGCCTGAGGAAGCAGGAACACATCCTCCACATTGTCTACTGAGGTAGACGGTGGGGAGACGGGATCCTCCAAAGGGCTCTTGTATTCCCTGTTCACTGAACGCACATCTGTGGAACTGCCGCTTTTGGAGACCTCTTGGTCCTGTTTCTTAGCCCCAATGAAAAGCACATCGGATGTCCCTCTGACCTCATCCTGGAGAATTTCTGACCAACCATCATACCGACCGTTCTCTACACAATTTCTACTTTCAGAAAGAATGCTGTGTTTCTCTTCTGCCAGTACCTTTTTCTCAATTCCATTACTGGAAATGGCTTCTCCATTAAACTTTGGAGGCTCTTTCGCGTTGTATTCTCTAGCATTATCCTGTGGTCCCACTTGAGGTTGAGAAAGCGAGGGGAACGGTTCTGCATGTGTGACAAGATTAACAGGCTCCTTGTCCTGTTCTAGGAAATGCTGGTTCAGTGCATAGCTGGTCTCCTCAAACCTATTGTCAGTGTTGCGTTGAGGGTGGAAGGAAGACTTGCTGATGGGCGACACACTGTACGGAGGAGAGCTGTGAGTGGAGAAGACATGAGACCTGCTCACGTAGGACAGGGTGACTGTAGTGTGGGATAAGGCATTGTCTGGCTGAATTTGATCCCCTGGTCGAACTGTGACATCTGAGGAGCCAGTGTCTGACAACTGTAACCCGGGGATGGCAGATCCAGAGTTCGGGCCCCAGCCAGAGCCCTTGAGCCTCTGCAAGGCATCCAGAGATGGTGATGTCAGGAGGTGTTCATCATCTTTCCTGGTCAAGTCTATTACACTGGAGCGAGTGGGGGAAGAGGCACCTTGATGCTGTAGCTCAGCCAAGGTCCCAGGTGGCTGCTCCATAACAACTGCAATAGACGGAAAGAAGTTTATTATATTTACGTAAATGAAACGTACAATTGCATCGGCATGGATGTCATAGTGATGTTGGACTTTTCATTCATTTTATTTATTTATTTTTAACCACACTAGAGGGATTATATAACACATATGACAGCTAGTCCATTTTCCAAAACAAATAAAACTTTCTCAAATCACTGTCATATTTCAGATTTTCAGATGATTAATAAAAACTAAACTGGTGATATAGTTAAACTAAAATATTACTTCAACTATATCTGATATTTTATAGACGTTTTATAGATGCCTATAAAAACGGGGAAACTATTATCATTATGGGGAAAGATTACGACGAAAAGTGAAAAACCCCTGAGTTGACAATGAAACTCTTGAGTACATTTAAATCTCTAACCGCAACTGTGAGAAATACCTCTGACCTGCGCAGGAAATGTCGAATAAAAACAAAGTTATCTCTTTTAAGTCATCATTTCGTTAGAGTGCAACTACATATTTATCTTCACAACTATTTTAGGACAAAGAAAACGGTTAAACCGCGACCCTTGAAGTCACACCGCTGTCATAAGCTAGGTAACTGACGTGTACTTGGCTTTAATTCCTGTAGTAAAGAACACACAAAAAATAACCGACAGTTTACCTTCTAGCTTCATTTTAGATTAGGTTATCATGTCAATGATTTTAAGAAGTTATTTTATGAGAAAAACGGGTCTAAAGGCAAACAGCGAACTTTTCCCCACCGACACTGACAGGTCAGGATGGCTAGTTAGCTTAGCAAGAGCTAGCGAGTTAGCCTGGCCCGGTGTAGCTGCGGTAATCTCCCCTCGTGTCAATTTCCATGGGATATTTAATAGCTTCTACGAAACACTGTAAAAAAACGTAATCTTAAACTTTAATACTTGCAATATACCCGCATATTTAATCACTACCCTCTGTCGTCATTTCGGCTATGTTTATTATCCCCATAATATAAATATTTCAATAAAATGTTAACTTGTACTTGAGTATTGCTTCTTCCTGACAAGCTTCTATGACAACCACCAACTTCTTACGAGGAAAAAACGTCCAACGCAAATATAAAATCAAATCTTTCAGCACAAATAACACCCTTCATAATGTTTAATTAACTCCGAATAGAAGAATACATTATTTTTATGCCAAGTGTATTAAACGTTTCTTCACAGGTATCCGAGAACAAGCGACATCACACATTTTATTAAACTACCAAATACTTGTAATGGAGTTTGGCATTCCGTTTACTTTGAACGGTCCGCATAGGGGAAAGGCCCGGCTGGGTGAAACAAAGACAGGACGGAGGGTACGGGCTCTGCTGCGCTTCTGATCACAACTTACCCGGACGGGGAAAATCTCTACGTTTTCAAACATTCAGTTAGGATTTCATCCCAGCCTGCGTCTCCATCAAAAGCGTCTCCCTTTCATATGAATTCTGATAGGGCTGGGAAAGAAAAAAAAGCCCTTAATTAAATAAATATCCACTCACTTTCCAGGAACACACTACTCTGATAGCAGCGCTGTCATGTTGGAACCTAATCTCTGACTTCCGGATAAAGCCTTCAAAATAAATCACTAAGTTTCTAAAACCGATCACATCTACTCGCAATTAATCGTTAAGTTCAAATACGCAGTTTACGTAATCGTCCAGGTGTTAACTGTAGTCCGACTACGGATTAGAAACACCTTAAACGTCATGTATAACTGTTGGCCGATAAAGATTAGGCTTTTTCCACGTTTTTTAATAAGAAAATCCTACCTTTGGATCGGCCTGATCAAAATAAAGCAGCAAGTGAAACGGCTAACACTCATCTGTGGAACCGAGATGCATCGTGATCGGTTTCATTCCACTTACTGTCACTTTCAGTTAGACTTTATTTAATGTCAACATGTGATTTTTATCAATTCAGAGATGCTATGCTAGCTTAAAAAGACTTCCCTCAAAACGAAAACAATTTCATGGTAGTTTTACACAAATTACTAAACCATCTTCATTTATTTAACTTCATTCTGTATGACCCCAAAAATTGGTTAAGCTGTTCAGGAGCTATTAAAGCACAACACATTAACTAACTGTAAAGTGCAGTCTATGCTGATATAAACTGCAGTTTACATCAGCATACACTGCGAGGCTCCTGGTCAAGAAAAACGCTTCTACTTATTTGCTAATACCTTGAAACTTGAAGGAAATGAAAAGCCAGAAGCCACCTAGAGAGAAAGTGTTATGGTCAAACAACACACTAAGCTGTTTGTCCACAAAGATAAGGAACTATGAGTGTAAAGGTCAAGAGTTAGCTTGTACAAGCTATGAAGCATAATTGCAATAATCATGTTGCAGGTCTCTTTTGCTACCAACCAATTTAAATGAACTCATTCTGCCAAGAAAATGGCAAATATCCAGACATTAGAAGTTTTGTTGATGCCTATCAAAGGTGGGACATTAAACCAGATACGAGTGTATAACTTTGACCTTGTATGGATTTAGCAAAGTCTACAAATTCAAGCTTTGCTGTTTTGTATCCAACAAAGCTACAGTACAGAACTTTCCCATTCACCAACATGGATTACGTGTTTATTTTTTTTTGGCTCCATGTACTACTATGGTGCGTTTCTTTGGGGTGACAAAGGGTGGTGGGTTAGGTTCAATATGGGATAACCTTTTTAATATGCATGGAAGATAATGGATGGCTAAGGAGCTACATTACCGACATTGGGGTGTCTAAGGATTGGCAGTAGAGGCATTACCAGCATGTGACTGTGAGCTGATGTCCTGATGATGGTCCACTGGATTACAGCAAAATACCATTTTTGTTTTTTCACCATCCTCCATAACATCTTTGAACCCAGTTGAGTGTACAAGAAATTAACCATTATTCCCTCTCAACAAGAAAGTGCCCAGGGTTATATTAACACTATCCTGATGCTGTAGTGAATTTTTGTGTAAAATAAATAAATACAGAAAAAACTGGGGGGAAAAAATAAGAACCACAACCATTCATTGGGCAGCAAGGTCACCACAGAAACTGCATACCTTTGAAGGTCTAAATTGAATTTTCTACATCCTTCAGACAAGGGGAATGTATCTTAGTGTGTTTTTGTTTTGTAATTTTTATTGCTGTATATGCAGTTTTTATTAACTGTATTCATTCAGTTTCCAACAAAGTGGAAGTGTACAAAACCTTTAAGTAAAACTAAGTAGAAATTGTACACAAGAAACTGAGTGGAAACTGTGCTTAGCAAGCTATGTGGCATAAAATATTAGGGGCTATTGTTTTATTATTATTGATATTACTAATTTACATTCAAGTCTTATTTAGCAAAACTTTGCACTTTCAGATTCTCTTGTAAATCTTTAGCGAGATGCAACGTGAAAAATGGCGAGACATCTCAGGTGCACTACGCAAAATGGCAAACTTCATAACCAGAAAGGGTGCAAAAATATTTATTGCTAATAAACCTGTAGTCAGTTGGTGTATATTTGCTTTATATTTACAATAATAGAGTACAGAGGAATGGGAATGTAAAAGAAAAATCCCAGCCATTTAAATAAATACAAAGGGACTGCCACGGAACAAGACTACAAACATAAACCAACTGGAGGAACTCCTATACAGCTGGACCAACGACTGCTGTGAGAGAAAACAAACAAACAAAAAACCTATACCTTTTAATGTACGTACTTAAATTATAGTCAGTGAATCTGTCCATAAGAATACCGTTATCTTTCCAGGAACATCAGGTTTGTGTGATGTTAGTTTGGAAGACAGGCGACACGGATGAGCGCTCCAATTCCAAAGCTTGTTTACGACACGCATGTGTGTGGAGAAGGTGCAGAGGAGTCACAACAGGCCGAACACTGGACTCATTCCCGTCAGTTGTGTTATGCAGGTGTTACTTCTCAATATACGCTTTTGTTTTAAGCCAGTCAACATTGCAGCTAAATGTCTTTGGCTAGCAACAGTCTATAGTGTTAAAACAGTAGCTTACACAGTCATAGTTTAGTGTATGCATGGCAGATGCTCTTTTTTAAAAACATTATTTACAAAAAGACATAGGGGGAAAGGGCTGGAGGGAGGGGAGAAATAATACAAAAACGTCACAGTTAGCTGAAGTGCATGGAATGCAAACTCTAGACATGAAATTCAAACTTCATAGCGTGTCTTCTTTAATAACATATATGATCTGTGTTTAGTAACCAGTGTGTAGTGTTTCTAAATAAGTCGTAGCAGAGCTAAAAATATAGTGGGCTCCTAAACATGCGGCACGGCAGGCAGACGTGATGCGTCGCTCGTCAGAACTCCTTCGCGTCTTTGTTTTCGAACAGGTGGAGTCTCTGCTCCGCGGTCAGCCCTTCCTTCAGACTCTGGAGGGAAACAAACAAAAGAAATATTTGATGTTAGGACACGTCTCCCAGGCGGAAAAAAAAACAACAAAAAAACTTAAAAGTTAGGCAAGGGATTTTCCTCTATTATCCAGTTGTCACCCAGTTATGATTAAATCTATCCAGGTATGTTTCTTAGCTTTACTTAAGTGTTTTCTGGCTTTAAACAAAAAACTAAATGTGAGGAATTTATCATAAGCTAAAGATCGTTGTCAGATCTTGAGTGGGAGACAGCAGGGTGTGTTACACCGACCCGTGGGTGTGTCTGCTTTGGTTTACCTAAAGGAGAGGAAGAAGTAGGCCTACACACGTCTTCTGCTAACTGTCCCAGGGCATGTCTCGATTCACAGACTGAGGACAGAAGGGGAGGAAAAAACAAAACACACACACACCAGCAAAAGTGTGTGTTAGACCGCTGTGGTGTTTGATTTGCAACAAAATCCCAAGATCGCAGTTCAGATGGAGTCATAACAGACAGGAAAAGTAGTCACACCCTTTGAACTTAACTTTTATTTTTTCCCACGATGCAGCCACAAATGTGTGTTTATGTCAGGGCAAGACCAATACAAATTAGAGCTTAACTGAATAAGAAACAAGAAAATATGGTTGTTTATTTTTTTTTTTTACATTTAACAAACATCTGATTTTTTTCTTGAGCCAGTTTTTTGTAGAAATATCATGGCTTCAATTACCAGTTTTATAGAGAATTCTTGAATTTCAGCAATGTGAACTAATATTCTCACTTTGATTTAGGTCTGGTCTTTGACTAGGCCATTTTAAACACATGAATATCTGTCAGTCTGCTGTAAGTTAAACGTCGGCGCTTTGAGCCTGTGATATGTTTTATCACCATATATTTACTTCCTTCCATCTTCCCATCAACTCTGACATGAATTTCCTGTCTCTGCTAGAGAAAATTGACCCCCAACACGTTGTAGGCTTTAAAGTGTCTCACAGTGAGGATAACGTGTTCAGGGTGGCGTGTGTTAAAACTTCACCACACATGGCATTGGGTATGTTTGGGTACTATTACTTAGGTACTTTTGAGGGCTGGGCAGCAAAGCTTCAAAATAAAATCTCAGATGTTTTCAAACCAGATCTGATTTTAATCTATTTTTTTCCCTTGCTTTCTTTTCTAAAAAAAAAAAAAAAAAAAAAAAAAAAAAAAAAAAAAAAATTTTTTTTACAAATGGCAGAAAATATAAAAAATTGGCTTTTGTTTCAATTGTCCCTTTGGTGAGTTGTTCAACAGAGCATTAGTGCCAGGCTGTGAGAAGTTTTGCTTAATTACGAGAATATAGTCATAATATTAACAGAATAAAGAAGGAATTTTATCAGGAAAACGTCTTGAAGTTATGAGAAAAAAAGTTAAGAAAAAGAGCTTAGATAAGTTATTGCCATCTGGTGTTGGCAGCTCAGTCTGTGAGGTTTGTTCTTCAAAATGGTTTGCATGATCATTTCAAAGCCCTACTGCAGATAACTTGATGCTGAGGGCTAACCCTACCCTAAGATTTAATACTTTAGTGTCTGTAAAATTACACAGAAAAATTGGTATTTTTTCTGTAGCGGTTATCATAAAATTATAACTTCATTCTTCTAATAAGATGATTTTTGACTGAGTGTACAACTTTATTATACAGTATTGCTGTAGTACTTTGTTATAGAAATGGTAGCCAGATTCAAAGTCCAAATAAATAGAAACTTTGCCAAACAAGATGGTGGAAAATAAGTCAGATTTTTCAAAAACCCAAAATTTTAATTGACTAGTAAAACAGATTTTATTCATTAAAAAACATTAAAACCATAATTTTCCTTCCACTTCAATTATGCACTACTTTGTGTTGGTCTATCAAATAAAATCCATTCAGTAAAGGCCCTGGATATCGATAAAACACATCTGGGGGCATGCGCTGTTGCATGCAACATTTCAGGCAACCTGCAGAGGGCAGCAAATAACTGGAACGTGCATCTCAGGCCTTAACGATGGAAAGCCGGATTGCTCTGTCTGCTATCAAAGTGTTGCTGCCTCACATCACAGCCATGTGGTTTTGCCGTTCAGCAGGAGCTCTCGCGGACTGGACGGCTGCTGCTAACACAAATCGTTTCTTTCTGACCCACCTTTGACCTCAGGGTTCGCTCCGAGCGCTTGGCTGCCGCCGCTGCCATCTTCAGGATGTCGGGGTTGCTTTTGGACTTCATGATATCTGTCACGAGAACGGTCAGAAACCGAATTAGATTGGCGTTCGGACGGCAGGCCGTTTCGAGGCGGCGGCCGGCGTACCGTATCCTCCTCGCTCCAAGTC